ATAGTAGGATGGAATAATGTAATCGAAAAATGTATATATAGTCCAGTTGAGTAAAAAGTACTGTTGTAAATTTTGCAACTAGGCTTTTAAGAGTTTCAACTAAGACTTTAAAAGGAATAGAGTTAGATTGGTCAAACTCAGGATTGGCTTCAAGGATAAAGTCAGTTAAAAACTTAGGTTTGCTATTAGTCATTTTGTTAAGTATGTAGTTAAATAAGTATTTAACAGAAGGTCTATTATTAAGTTTTGAATCAGTTAGATCAGTAGAGATTTCTTGTCCAAGATTAAAATTTACAAGATATGATTTTAAAAGTGAAAAAACTTTTAAGGCTAATGATGTGCTTAATTTACTATATTGTTGCATTTCAGGTGTAATAGAATAATTCAAGAACTAGTCAAAGTCATTTGTTATATTCCATTTTTGTATAAATTCTTTTTGTTTGTCTTTTTGTTTTAGATCATTATTAATTTGATTTTTTTGTGTTTTGTTATTTTTAGTTTGAACATTATCCTTGGATTCATTGGTAGTTCTGGTTTTTTTGGGCAATTTTTGAAGAAATTTCTTAAAAAATATATATTTATCTTCAGCTGATAATTGGCAGTATTTGATTTTACAATATAAATTGCATTGTTTCTAGTTCATAGGTATTGAGGGAGTTAAGTATTTAAGTTTGAGAAGGTGAATGCATTGTGCATATGCAGGAAAGCTTCCTTCACCAGTTACAAAAGTCAGAGCTTGTGGATCAAGTGAGTGTTTGTTATCTTTAAGAATAATGCATAGTATATTCTTGATTTTATATATAATGCATGTATGTGCATGATGAGAAAATGGTTTAAAAGGGATAGAATTTGTAGAAGTTTTCCTAATATCACTACAGAAGGTAGGAAATGAATGAGTGATTTTATGTTTTGATTAGAATTTGGATCTTGAGAGACTTTTTAAAGATTTGAAGAATTTCATATCAAAGTTAATTTCCATAGAGTTAGATGCATCGAAAGTGTTTTCAGGAATTGATTGGAAATTTGCTAAAATAGTAATATGTTGTGAAGTGAAATAGGTATAATATTTTTTACAATAACAGGTAGTAATAACAGATCCAGTAGGTTTTATAAAGAAATGAAAGTTGTTTTGAAGGTTATATGTTTTAGGATTGAAATTGATAGGTAGAACTTTAAGATTACGAATATTGCTATTATGAGTAACAGTACCAGAGCTGTTACTATATTTGGCAATGTAATTATCAAGATCGAAGGAGTCAGGTTCTACAATATTAATGTTTGGCATTATATGTAATTATCTTTAAGGATAATGTTTATAAAATTTAAATAATACAAATTATTTGTGTAATGTTGTTTATAAGAAAGTTTCTTAATTATCTAGACTTCCAGACTATTTAGAAGTGATCTGTGAAGTGTGGTATATTTGTAAAGTCTAATTGAATGTTTAGAAAATTTTAATGAGTGCCAGAAAAGTGAAAAATCTAAGGCAACCCAGCAGTTTTTCCTAAAATGCCAATAAAAAAATCTGTAAAGACAGGTTTTAGTTTTTACCTTTTTGTTTGTATCTTGGTGAGTTTTGGTTTGTTTATAATAAATTATATATAAAAATGATCAGAACAGAGAGCTTGTTCTTTTTCTAATAGGTAATAAGATATATTTAATTAGTAAAATATATAATAAATAAGCAAAAACCAAATTTTTGGTTTTTGAAACTTTTCTTAATGGCCAAGTGTTGCAAGAGTATAAAACTTGGCTGCCTAGGAGGAAAAAAGTGAGCTGAGTAATGTTACTTAGAAGTACAAATAAGGTTTACTTGATAAAATATTGAGAAATAATTAAATGTTTTTAGCAAAAATTTGGTACAAATGATCTATGAAGAGAGTTACAGAATTGGTCTCTATATTTTAGATTAATAAATTAAGATGTTGTTACAATATATAAATTATACAAGACATATTTATTAATACCATCATCATTAATTATATTTGATTGAACTTCAATATAGTTTTCTATTAATGGAGAATTTCGTTCTAAAAAATTTGCAATAAGATCAATAAATTAATATATCATTGCAATATATAAATATTTTTATTTGAATAACTCTTCTAAGTTTAAATTAATAATTATTAAATTATTAAATCATTTATTTTATACCATTATTTGTAATTAAATTAATTTAAATATTTAATTGATTTTCTAATAGGATATCTTCTTCTTGTATTATGTTTTGTTGATAAAGTATTGAAATCATCGATAATTCTGCATGTGGTTCTTGTCCAAAAACAAGTTTATATAATGTAGATTTTATTGATTTACATACTTAACTATTCATCACCCCTAAAATATTTATTTAATATAATTAAACACAGTATATATATAAATAATATTATATAAATACAAAATAATATACAAAAATATATAATTTTAAACTATATAGATTACAAATAATAAATGACAATTCAATGCTCCAATCTTTTCAATTTGTTTTTTCCATCCATACACAAGCTTTGTTTGGAGTATATCATTATCCTTCTCAATAGACCCTTGACATTAAGGATATCTTAGCCTTCCATGTATAAATTTAACTGATAGCCAGAGTCTCATAGTTTCTTTTACAACTTCATCAATAAACTCCCCACCATTATCAGAATGTAAAATTGCAAGTGGTTCATAAGTTAAACAAAACTGCAAAAGAAAACTTGCAGTCTCTTTTGCAGATCTTGTTATAGCAAGCTGAGCAGCTGAAAATCGAGTAAAGTGATCTCAAATATGTATAATATAATTAAATTCCCTATCTGGCATCATCGTCATGCTTATTGTATCAATCTTAAAAATTATTTATTAAATTTTAGTTTAAAAAATTTTATATTTTAAATTGTTATATAAATTCCTACTTGAACATGAGCAAGGTATTTTTCTGCAATAATTGGTCTCATGGCAGGTACTCATTTGCTTGTACATCGAATAATACATATATTACATTGCTTTACAACATTCTCCACAATTGTTTGAGGTATAAAACAATATCTTTGCCAAATCTATAAATTATATAGTTATTATTATTAATAATAATAAAATTTTTTTTTAATTTAAATAATAAAATATTACTTTTAACCATGTTTTTTCTTGGCCTCCATGTTCCGTGTCTTGATGTGCTTGACAAATTACAACATAGAAATCTTCGATAGGACACACTTGTGTACCACGACCATTATTTTCTGTTTTAATATTTAACTCCTCAACTGTCCCAACTTTAACTATTGTAAAGGTATGAAGAACCCAATATTTAAATTTTGGATTCTCATGTGTACTTGAAGGATTTCATAATAGAGTTAAGCAACGATTATATTTTAAACGATTCATTATGTGTCTTTCATTTTTACGACCACTCATATAATTATTAACTACTTGTTCAAAAGTTTGAGGTGAAATAAATGGATAAATAGGTAAATTATTTAAAGCCATGTTGAAAAGCAAAAGATCGTTAAATTATTTTTATTTATTTATATATTTTTGTAACCTTGTAGTTTATGCAATTTAAAAGTTTCTTATATTGACATTTTAGTTTTCTTTTCTCTACGGTTCTAATTGATCTTATTGTGATTATTCTTTAAACTATCATTTACTTCAATCATACTGCGATATAGACTACAATTAAATATAATTTGATAGCTTAATCACAGATCAATCTGCCTGCAAAACGATACAGATGTGAACTTGTGACCTCGCTTAGTTATGCCGATTTAAAACATTACTACATAGTTAATAAAAGAAAACACAATCGTATCGTAATTAATGACGTAAATAAGATTACTTCTAAAATTGTAACCAATAAAAATAGACGTTGGGGCAAAATTAAATCATCAGTTTAAAGTGACATATGTCATGTTCCGATCGGTATGAATTTTAAAATAACATATGTCAATTTAAGACCGACATAAGTCATGAATCGACGTATAACATTTACACTAAAAAATTAACAACTTCAAATTATAATACGATCCATTTTCCTAGTTATGTATTATATCGGTGTTTCCAAAGTTCCATTACATGGTTCCTTTTTTTAAAGTAACTTTATATATAGAGATCACGATCGTGATCTATATCTAGAACTATATAAAGTCACTTAAAAAAGGGACGTGTAGTGAACACCTGGTATATCTGTATATTATTTAATTAAAACTAGGATTTATAAATAAATTGTCTCCCTGACATTTTTTTCTAACAGTTATATGAATTAGGTAGGGATGCTAAGTCGTCTGGTCCTAATCTCCGAAAAAACTATTGTAATCTAATTTAGTCTAATAATAATTATGCAATTCTAAATTTTAATTAATATATATATTACTAATAACATTTTTAATCAATACAAATGTATATATATATTTTTAATATCAAAATGGGCGAGACTTTGCAAGTAAAGAACACGTCCTAAGCACCTTTTTTTCATGCTAAAAAATTTGAAATGGTAGTTTATACCATATAAGACTAAAATATATTGTGAAAAAAAACGTTTTTTATATCTTATTAATATTATAAAACATAGTTGAACTATTAATCTGGACAATAATATGAACTACTAGACTAGCTTAAACTTACTAATTTTTGAATTAGAACTGGACTAGATGAACGATCTAACATCCCTAGAATTAGACAACCCCAAACCATGAATGCATTGTTTAAAAATCATGAAGATGACTTAAATAGTTTTTGGCGCTTATACGTAACAATAAATTATTTGTATTATGTCATTACTTGTATAAAATATAAAATTAGGAATTTTTTACGGTAATGGCATTGTTTACTAAAATGGAAATAAAATTGAATACAACACAACAACTCTTGGAGGATCAAGAAACGTTTTGTACAAATATGGATGTTCGGAATAAAACTGCGTGACATGCGGAATAAACTCTGCGAGCTCAAAAGTATAAATAGTGGTAAAGCTAGTTTCATTATTTTGGTTTCGTTCAATATCAATTTTTTTTTTCGCTATAATGATGTCAACAGATATTATTAAGCCACGCTTAGTAACAGAAATTTTGATAAAAATTTTTAAAAATCTTGGTATTCGTGATTTACTTTCAGTACTTCTAGTTAATCAAGAATGGTGCCAAGTTGCTATTCCAATCTATTGGAGAGCTCCATTCAGTTATAAGAAAAAACGAAGCATTCTCGCATTAAAAATTTATCGTTTATTTCTTGAACAAGAAAACAATACGAATCATTCGTCGCAAACTACAATTCAAACCCTTCCAACGCTTTACGATTATCCATTTTTCCTTAAAGAACTCAACTTTACAAACTTACTAGAGCTTGATAAAGATATCACAAATGTTGATGCAATACTTAAAATGTTAACAAGTCGTGAAATCCGTATAACTACTTTCATTATGGATAATACCGGTACAGGCAATGATAACATTTACGGTTTATGGACAAAATCATGCTATGCTCCAATCTTCAGTTCTCTTGTTCATGTCGAAATATATCCTCCTTTTCCAAAAAATCGGGTCATAAAGGCGCTAGCCAATAATTGTTCCAACTTGGTATGTTTGAGTTATCCTTAATATTAAAACAATAATAATCTCTTATAATAAATTTTCTATTTCATTTTCTCTAGTTTCATCTCGATATTAATCTTTACGATAACTGCCCTAGTCGTGTTTTAGAATTGATCAATGATCTTAATCAACTTTTTTCTAATCGGAAACGCCTTTTAAATATTCGATTAGTATTTCCTAAAGGTCCTGGAAAATTGCTAATCAAAGCATTGCAATCTCGACTTGAATGCTTTAAACATATTGAACTTGCAAAGTGGACTTTTAACGATTGCGATTGGAAATGGTTGAAAAAATGTCAAAACTTGGCTGAATTTGCAATAACAAACCCTCAAACTCAAGTCTTTGACGTTTTAGGAATTGAGTCAGAACTTTATCGCTTGAGAATATCAAAAAATTCTAAAATTACAACTACTCATTGGCATTTGGACAAGGACAATAAGGTCGATAAAATTTCTTTTGAATCAAGCTTTTATTTCCATCCTAAAAAACCTCCTGCGGAACCATATCATGACGAATCTTTAGAAGAATTTTTACTACATAAATTATAATTATATCAAATTTTTCCTCGCCATTTTTTTTTTTTTTTTTTTAATATATAAAACATAATACAAAATATTTATTATTAATTATAAAATTTTCGTTATTATATCGTATTATAAAAGAACATTTATATAATTATATAAGTAGCTATCATATTTACCACATTTATCAAATTATGATTTTACTTATTTATATATCCTTAAAGAAAATTTACCATATTCATTACATTCATAAAAAAATACACTATAAATAAAATAGAAAAAACTAATATATGTAAAAGTTTTACTCCATGTTTCTCCACGTCTGCACTAGAGTATTTTCAAAGGTAATTTTTGTTTTTACCGTTATATCACTTAAAACTATCTTTTTGTCATATCTCAAAAAAAACCAAAATGATCACAATATTTACATATAATATAAAAATTAAAACCAATCAGAATTAGTCATCAAAAAAGTAATTTGGAAACTTTGCTGTACTTTTGCACGCGTGTCTAAATTGCACTTTGGTGTAACACGTTTTTTTTTTAAATGTTGAATGTTGAATACCTTAGTTTTATTTCTTATCTTTCCTAAGACATTTGAGTTCCGTTTATCTTTAAGACACATTCTATTTAAGGAATTTTGTCATCATCGTAAAGCTTTTTTTGTCATGGATTTATTTCTTTAGACCTCGAACTTATATTCAACATTGTCTAGATGTCGGTTAGTCTAGTTAGGGATTGGAACCGCCTAAAATTTTTCTTAATCGTCTAACCGTTTAACCGGTTAACTTGACCGGCATTAAAATAATTCCGGCCCATGGCCAACATAATTCTGCCCGGAACTACAGAGCAATTTTTAAACGGTTAAACGATTCTAATTCCTATTACAGTTTGGATACAAAGTACAATTGGTGAATTTATCTCGGTGTCATCCGCTTTAATTATTGTGAATAGATCGAATGATCCTTTGCTTCTGTCAGGTAACTATGATTTATTTATTTATTTATTTGATCATATAGTTGTTTTTGTGTATAAAGGAAGAACATAAATTATTTCCATTACTCATAATTAATAGAAAAAAAATCCTTAATCTCAGAGACGTGAAAACTTTGCATGTTTATGTAGGGTTCTTGCTGCAAAGTAATAAAGTGGTTGTGTCATGTCGAAATCAATCCTGCCTGTAAACTCGAATGCCAAAACTTTTGTCGCAATCTCAACGAACTGTATATTTTTTGCCTTTTTTTTTATTTTCACAAAGTTTTTTAGTTCCTACAGAATATTTTTCTATTATTGCTCATACTTAACCTCGATATGTATTTCTTTTACTTTTATTATACCTCTATATTAGTATTTAATTCTAGGTCGGAATAAATTTTTCCTGAATGACTCATTTGTTCATGTTTACATCCTCATTGGGTACAACTCCAGATTGTTATAAACCTAGTCATAGGATACACCTTTACGTGGTGACTAGTGTTACGGCCTAAACCGAAACTTTCGGCCAGGCGAAACTTCCGAAACCTCCGAAACCTAGTTCGCCGAAGGTGCCAAGTCCGAAACTGGGCGAAACGTCCGAAACTAGGCGAAATGTCCGAAACTGGGAGAAACTTCCGAAACTGGGAGAAACGTCCGAAACTGGGCGAAACTAGGCGAAACTTGATCTTATCTCTATCAAAATTAACATATCACGTGACTCAGACTTCGACATGACGATTTTAAAAGTCACGTGACCTATGCACTTAAATTTGACCAATGGAATTTCCAAAAGTCACGTGACTACCATACATAAAATTGCGGAAAGTCTACGGACACGTACCAGTCACATGACCCTAACCTAACTAAATGTTATGGACACGTACCAATCACCAAT